GAAAAAAAAATCAAATAAATAAATAAACAATCAATAGAATAGAATAAAATTATACATACGGTACAACGAACCGTCATATTTTAAATTCGTGAATACAATTGATACGAATGGACGAATAGTTCTAGACCATTGAGAAAATTTTATCGCAATAAAGTTTACAAATTACCATCGGTCACCGAGCAAACTATTTCTTATTAATCCTCATTCTTTGGTGGAATACCGTATACGGTAAACACCGGATTCCATAATTTCAATTCCTTTCATGTCAAGTCATAATAACAGCAATACCTTGTGTTTCACATCTTATAAGTTAATATTGATAATTTATGTCACGCGCATGACAGGCTTCTCAAAATTTTTGAATAATCTAGTCATGCGAGTCTACACGAAAACTTTGGTTCAAAGGATGCAGTTAAGGGGCAAGTAAATAATTTTCATGGATGTCAATTTTGATTTTCAATATGAATCCTGAGAATATTCACGCGATCACATTTAATGAATTTATTTGTAATCAATTGAATTCGCATTTACTATTGCACTTTCTTTATGATACCGGTACATGCATCTTTGCATTTAGACATACTGTTTTCAATCAGATCCCGTACTTTTGAAACATCACGCACACGTACGTTTCAATACACCCTGATACATGGTCTTGCAGAAGCACGCAGTCTAATGTCGAGAAAGACATTTCGAACAATTATTCTGTTAATGAAAGATGAACTCATTCTATAAATTATTTAAGACTCGGTTTAAAATTTTCTCATTCGGAACCAATCGTGTTGAACACGCTATCCTCGCAAATGCTATCTATCGGATTTCAGCATCACCGGTTCCAAGTATGATTGGTTTCTCCGATCGTAGTCCAGAGATAGGAGGGAAATATTGCCAAATAGTAGATTGATTGAACGTTAACCGAAAATTGATTCAAACTAACGAGATAAAAGTTTTCGTGATTGCTCATCAATTGGACACAAATTTTATTGGATCATCAAAAAAATTTTTTTTGTACAAGATCGTTGTCATTGTTCGTTTTTTCCCTTCTGTTATGCGTGGGTGGAATGAACGTAAATTTGACTTAAATATGTCCCGCATGGTTCACAAGCACATAATTAACCGAACGTCCAATCTCCTCCGTCCCTTTTTTAAAGAAGAAGTGAACGTGTTCACATTTGTTGGGCCTTTCGAAGACAAAGGGCACAAAATCCATTGAACCATATTTCTTGCGTTAAGTAGTTAGCAAGGCTCACAACGCGTTCATCATGTTCGAATAGACAAAATTTTCGAGAGTTTGTGACTCCGAGAGAGGGGTCGTACGAACCAATCGCTTTGGATACGCATACCAAGGGAAAACGGTACGTCAAATGTATTTGTATTTGTATTCGATCTAGTACTACCCCATTATCGATATTACATAACATAACTAAGCAAGATCGACAAATGTACGGTATACATTATAATTATTAAGGATGCTCACTGTATAATATACAGTATAATAAATTTTAATATACAGTATAATAAATTTTATTATCTTTGATCTGAATTAGTACAGACATTTATATTTCATTCGACCGAGTATATATGCGTGTAAACGATGACAATGTCAATGTATGTATTGTAAATTCACCGAATTGCAAATATACGGTATTGAAA